TGATCCACCCGCCTCGGCCTCCCAAAGTGCTGGGATTACAGGCTTGAGCCACCGCGCCCGGCCTTGCTTTTTTTTTTCTTATAAACTTGTTTGTTTTTGTAGACTCTGACCTTTGTCAGATGGGTAGATTGCAAAAATTTTCTTCCATTCTGTAGGTTGCCTGTTCACTCTGATCATAGTTTTTTTTGCTGTATAGAAGCCCTTTAGTTTAATTAGATCCCATTTGTCAATTTTGGCTTTTGTTGCAATTGCTTTTGTTGTTTTTGTCATGAAGTCTTTGGCCATGCCTATGTCCTGAATGTTATTGCCTGGGTTTTATTCTAAGTGCTTATGGTTTTGCGTTTTACATTCAAGTCTTTAATCCATCTTGAGTTAATTTTTGTATAATGTGTAAGGAAGTGGTCCAGTTTCAGTTTTCTGCATATGGCTAGTCAGTTTTCCCAGCACCATTTATTAAATAGGGAATCCTTTCCCCATTGCTTGTTTGTCTGGTTTGTCAAAGATCAGATGGTTGTAGATGTGTGGTGTTATTTCTGAGGTCTTCATTCTGTTCCATTTGTCTATATATCTGTTTTAGTACCAGTACCATGCTCTTTTGGTTACCATAGCCTTGTAGTATAGTTTTAAGTCAGGTAGCGTGATGCCTCCAGCTTTGTTCTTTTTGCTTAGGATTGTCTGGGTTATATGGGCTCTTTTTTGGTTCCATATGAAATTTAAGGTAGTTTTTTCTAATTCTATGAAGAATGTCAATGGTAGATTGTTGGGAATAGCATTTATCTATAAATTACTTTGGGTAATTTGGCCATTTTCATGATATTGATTCTTCCTATCCATGAATATGGAATGTTTTTCCATTTGTTTGCATCCTCTCTTATTTCCTGGAACAGTGGTTTGTAGTTCTCTTGAAAGAGGTTCTTCACATCCCTTGTTAGGTGTATTCCTAGGTATTTTATTCTCTTTGTAGCAATTGTGAATGGGAGTTCATTCATGAATTGGCTCTCTACTTGTCTATTTGTGTATGGGAATGCTTGTGATTTTTGCAGATTGATTTTGTATTCTGAGAGTTTGTGGAAGTTGCTTATCAGCTTCAGGAGTTTTTGAGCTAAGACAATGGGGTTTTCTATATATAGAATCATGTCATCTGCAGAAAGAGACAGTTTGACTTCCTCTCTTCATATTTTAATACACTTTATTTCTTTCTGTTGTTTGAATGCCCTGGCCAGAACTTCCAGTACTATGTTGAATAGGAATGGTGAGAGAGGGCATCCTTGTCTTGTGCTGGTTTTCAAAGGAAATGCTTCCAGCTTTTGCCCATTCAGTATGATATTGGCTGTGGGTTTGTCATAAATAGCTCTTATTATTTTGAGATATGTTCCGTCAATACCTAGTTTATTGAAAGTTTTTAACATGAAGGGATGTTGAATTTTATTGGTTTTTTTCTGCATCTATTGAGATGATCATGTGGTTTTTGTCATTGGTTCTGTTTATGTGATGGATTATGTTTATTGATTTGCATATGTTGAACCAGCCTTGCATCCCAGGGGTGAAGCCGACTTGATCGTGGTGGATAAGCTTTTTGAGGTGCTGCTGGATTCGGTTTGCCAGTATATTATTGAGGATTTTTGCATCGAAGTTGATCAGGGATATTGGCCTAAAGTTTACTTTTTTTGTGTGTCTCTGCCAGGTTTTGGTATCAGGATAATGCTGGCCTCATAAAATGAGTTAGGGAGGAGTCCCTCTTTTTCAATTGCTTGAAATCGTTTCAGAAGGAATGGTACCAGCTCCTCTTTGTATCTCTAGTAGAATTCAGTTATGAATCCCTCGGTCCTGGGCTTTTGTTGTTGTTGTTGTTGGTAGGCTATTAATTACTAGCCTAGGAGGCCAAGGTCACAGTGAGCTGTGATTGCGCCACTGCACTCCAGCCTGGGCAACAGAATGAGATCCTGTCTCAAAAAAAAAAAAAAAAAAAGAAGAGTTATTGAGGAAGAGAAGCGATGGCAGAAGGCTATTTGGTTGATAGGTTATTAATTACTGACTCAATTTCAGAACTTATTATTAGTCTATTCAGGGATTCGAATTCTTCCTCGTTTAGTCTTCTGAGGGTGTATGTGTCTAGGAATTTTTTCATTTCCAGATTTTCTAGTTTATTTGTGTAGACGTGTTTATAGTATTCTCTGATGGTAGTTTGTATTTCTGTGAGTCAGTGGCGAAAATATTCCTTTTATCATTTTTTAATGTGTCTATTTGATTTTTTTCTCTTTTCTACATTATTAGTCTAGCTAGTGGTCTATCTATTCTGTTAAGTTTTTCAAAAAACCAGCTCATGGATTCACTGATTTTTTGAAGGTTTTTTGTGGATGATCAGTATGTCTTATATAGTCAAAAAGCCTCAAATACAGGCCTAATTAAATCTATTTTTACCCAGAAAAGTAAAAGCATTTTATAAGATGTGGGAAAAAAAGTGGGTTCTAACTACCCGACTCTGGGAAAGTCATTTGACCATTTTGAGATTCAAAATGCCTATGAGCTGAGTTACATTTTGCTGTAGCCAAGAGCAGACAGATTAAAATAATCTTTAAAAAGCACTTGGTGGGTTGGGCACAGTGGCTCAAGCCTGTAATTCCCATACTTTGGGAGGCTGAGGCAGGCAGATCACTTGAGGCCAGGAGTTCAAGACCGGCCTAGCCAGCATGGCAAAACCCGTCTCTACTGAAAATACAAAAATTAGCCAAGCATGTGTTTGCACGCCTGTAATCCTAGCTACTTTGGAGGCTGATGCATGGGAATCGCTTGAACCCTGGAAGTGAAGGTTGCAGTGAGCCGAGATGGCGCTGCTGCACTCCAATAGCCTAAGCGACAGTGGCATAGCAATACTCTGTCTCAAAAAAAAAAAAAAAAAAAGAAGTACTTGATGATATGATTTGGAGTAGACAAACTGCATGCATAGAGAACGTTCCAGGGATATATCTGTCATGCAAAATATAATGATTCCAGATAGCACTAATAATTTTTGAAGATTTTCTTTTCAAAGTTTAATTCTGTCCTTTCAGGTCTTAGCTAAAGAAGATACTGAGGCAGCTATTCAATCAATATTATACAGAGAAAATTATATAACTAAGGTAAGAATTGGCTACAAAATGCATCCAGTTAAAAACTGAATGTAGTTTTTCCTTTTTATATGTAGCATATTCTCTAAAAACTATTTAGAAAATATGGAAAATAGAATTAAGACCACTCCCTTGCACCTGGAATTAACCTTAAGGTATCTCTGAGATTGCTTCAGTGGATTTCCTCTCTTGCTATACTTTGTGGGAATTCCTTCACAAAGAGGCACAAGAATTTCCCTCTATCCACTTGTTTTTGTTTGTTTGTTTGTTTGTTTTTTTGAGACGAAGTCTTGCTCTGTTGCCCAGGCTGGAGTGCAGTGACGTGATCTCAGCTCACTGCAACCTCTGCCTTCTGGGTTCAAGCAATTCTCCTGCCCCAGCCTCCTAAGTAGCTAGGATTACAGGCACATGCCACCATGCCCGGCTAATTTTTGTATTTTTAGTAGCGACGGCGTTTCACAATGTTAGCCAGGCTGGTCTCAAACTCCTGACCTCAAGTGATCCACCCACCTCGGCCTCCCAAAGTGCTGGGATTACAGGTGTGAGCCACTGCGCCTGGCCAAGTTTTAATTTTTCTGTAGAGATGAAGTCCAACTATTTTGCCCATGCTGGTCTTGAACTCCTGGGCTCATGTGATCCTCCTGCCTTGGCCTCCCAGAATGCTAAGATTACCAGTGTAAGCCACCGCACCTATCCTAAATCCTCATTCTGAAAGGTCCAGCCCAAATGTCTCCCACTTTGGGAATCTTGGCTTTAAAAAAAATAATAATTTCTTTCAATGTATGCAATGTAAAAGTAAATATACACAATATAAAATTTCCCATTTTAACCATTTTTTAATTTTTAATTTTTAAAATTTTTGTTTCTCATTTCAACCATTTTAAGTATGCTATTCAGTGCCATTAATTACATTAATAATGTTGTGCAACCATCACCACTATTTCCAAAACTTTTTCATTACTCCAAACTGAAACTTTGTATTCAATAAGCAATGACTCCTCATTTCTCCCTCCCCCAGGCACGTGGTAACCTCGAATCTACCTTCTGTCTCTATGAATTTTGCCTATTCTATATTTTTCATATATGTAGAATCCTATACTATTTGTCCATTTGTGTCTGGCTTATTTCACTTTGGCATATTGTTTTCAAGATTCATCCACGTTGTAGCATATATCAGAACTTCATTCATATTATGGCCAAATAATATTCCATATTACACATATAAATAAATGTGGTTTGTAGGTACCACATTTTGTTTATCTGTTCATCTGTTGATGGATGCTTGGACCGTTTCCGCCTTTGGGCTATTGTGAATAATGCTGCAATGAACATTGGTGTAGGAGTATCTATTTGAGTCCTGGATTTTCATGCATTTGGGTATATACCTAGGAGTGGAATCGCTGGGTCTTATGGTAGGTCTGTTTAAATTTCTGAGGCCCACCAAACTGGGACTCTTTTAACAATCTAGGAAATGGTTTTTCTCTCCTCCGTCTTCAATTATTTTATATATAGTATGCCATATATATATGCATCATATATAAATATACATCTTGCTATATTTGTCCTCCCACTGTTTGTGAATTTGTTTCTTAGGGATGGGTTTTTACTATGTTGCCCAGGTTAGAGTACAGTGGCCTGATCGTAGTGAACTGCAGTCTTGAGCTCCTGGGCTCAAGCGATCCTCTAGCTTCAGCCTCCTAGGTAGCTAGAAATGTAGGTAGGCACCACCTCACCTTGCTTTTGATTTTTTCTTTAGTCTTTCTCCCCAGGGAGAGCAGGCATGTCACCTCAACTACCTGTGTTTTCCTTGTTTGCAGCAGAGTGTATGTCACATAGTAGAAGTTAAAGCCAAAGAAATGATTGAATTAATTAATGTCTTTGTGGGTTATTCTTAGGAGTAATTTAAACTTATGAAGTTAAGTTTTAACTTTTTGAAAACTTAAAACGTAAATTAAATTTGGAAAATTTTAGAACAAGAAAGCTTTAGGATAATATATTTGTCTTTTCTATCACTGTTCACTAGGAACTAGATAAATATTTACAACATCAAGCCTTCTTAAATGCAAGAAGAAAGGAGATGTTATATAAAAGATGGGTCGACCACGTGGCACATCCTCTTCAGAAGAAAATTATAGAAAAAGTTTGCTCACAGAAGAAGATTAAAAAAAGGAGACAAGAGGAATCAGACAGCTTTATAAAACATGTAAATAAAAAGGTACTAAGAGATCATTTGACGCTTTTTTCAGTTGATTTAAAACCTAATGTCATCTTTGTTAATTTATAATTATCTAGTCAGTCTGTCCCTTTCCCCTCTACGTATGTATAATCTATACCCTGTTATAGAATAGCATAAAGTATTCTTAAATTCAGGGCATTTGGAAAGGACAGAAAAGGAAGATTATATTTGGATTTAATTGTGTACATTAGAGCCGTTTTTCTGTTTTCCTCATGTAATTATTAATTTTAATTATCAAGTTAAGACATTTGGGCTGGGTGTGTTGCTCACACCTGTAATCTCAGCACTTTGGGAGGTTGAAGCGGGTGGATTACATGAGGTCAGGAGTTCGACACCAGCCTGGCGAACAATGTGAAACCCTGTCTCTACTAAAAATACAAAAATTAGCCAAGCATGGTGGCGGGCACCTATCATCCCAGCTACTCAGGAGGCTGAGGCAGGAGAATTGCTTGAACCTGCGAAGTGGAGATTGCAGTAAGCTGAGATCACACCACTGCACTCCAGCCTAGGTGATGGAGCAAGACTCTGTCTCATAAATAAAAAAATAAACAAATAATTTGGACTGTAGGTTCAGGACATATTTTTCTTTTATTCTATAGCTTGATTATTTGCAAAGCTCTAAAATATAGCTGTTCTAGCATTTTACAAAAATCTGAGATGTTTGACTAGTAAGCATTTAAGAACAAATTTCCAAATATTTTAGTGTTCCAGCATTCTTTATTAAAATCTTACAAATTTTAAGTAGATTCTTTCCCTCGCTATACTTTATTGCTTGAATAAACTAAATTTCAAATGTAGCCTTCTCTTTCCTTTTGCACTTGTCACTGATGCCACTTTCAAGCATAAGAATGATACTGTGTGTTTGACTCTCATGTCCTGATATGCTCAAAATTAACTGTGCGCCTCTTGTTCTTATGTGTGGTTTTATTTCCTTGCTATAGGGAAATGCGTTTATAGAACATTATGATCCAAAGGAGTATGATCCCTTTTATATGAGCAAGAAGGACCCCAATTTTCTGAAGGTAGGGTAGATTTCTTCTTTAACTTTGGTGTTATGTGTTTGGTTGTTTTGAGCAGCCTTAATATCTGAGCAGTCTTTAAGTGATTCCCTAAAAGTGCAGTAACATTTTAAGCATAGTTTCCCATCACCTGATCTTAAAAAGGAACAAACAGCCAAAGGCCAAAGTAAATTAAATCTCTGTAAAAATGGAAAATATTGGATAATGATTGGGTAATAGGTAATGTTTAAAAATTCCATAGACTTTTACATTAGTTACAAGAGTAACACATTTTCATGGTAGATAAATGAGGAAATAAAAAACCAAAATTCCATTACCTGGAATTAACTCATTATAATGTTAACTCATTAACATTTTTCTGTATATCTATCTAGACTTCTTTCTATATGTGTGTATATATACATATTTTTATTTTGTAAGAATGGAGTTACATTTGGTTTTATAATGGGCTTTCCTTCCCTCGATAGTTTATTATTTGCTTCTTTGTTAAAAAATATAAACATATAATTGACTTCATTGTATGGTATTCTGTTATTAATAGCAGAATTAATTAACCTTGTACTGAAAGATTAACCAAGTCTTAGAGTTTTTTTCCCATTTTATTTCTTCTTTACTGCTACTGTATGAGGTAAGTCACAGATGAGACAAGTGAGGCTCAGGTCACTTGTCAAAGTCACCCAGCTGTCAATAGCAGAGCACAGATGTGGTTTTTTTGTTTTGTTTTGTTTTTCTGAGATGGAGTCTTACTCTGTTGCCTAGGCTGGAGTACAGTGGTGCACTCTCTGCTCACTGCAATCTCTGCCTCCTGGGTTCAAGAGAGTCTCCCCCCCTCAAAAAAAAGAGATTCTCCTACCTCAGCATCCCAAGTAGCTGGGATTACAGGCATGTGTCACCATGCCTGGCTAATTTTTGTATTTTTAGTAGAGACAGCATTTCACCATGTTGGCCAGGCTAGTCTCAAACTCCTTACCTCAAGCGATTTGCCAACTTTGGCATCCCAAAGTGCTGGGATTACAGGCTTGAGCCTCTGCTCCTGGCCTTATCTTGTATAAAATGTTGTTTTGAAATATGTATACATTGTGGAATGACCAAATCAAGCTAATTAACATATACATTGCCTCGCAAACACCAGTTTTTTCTAAGTGAGAACACATAAAATCTACTCCCTTTGCAATTTTCAAGAATACAATACATTGTTATTAACTATAGCCATCATGTTGTACAATAGATCTCTAGAAAAATTTTATGGCAGCCGAGTGAGGTGGCTCATGCCTGTAATCTCAGCACTTTGGTAGGCTGAGGCATATGGATCAGAAGTTCAAGACCAGCCTGGCCAGCATGGCGAAATTCCATCTTTACTAAAAATACAAAAACGAGCCAAGCGTGGTGGCATGTGCCTGTAGTCCCAGCTGCTCAGGAAGCTGAGACAGGAGAATCACATGAACCCGGGAGGTGGAGGTTGCAGTGAGCCAAGATGGAGCACCACTGCACTCCAGCCTGGGTGACAAAGTCAGACTCTGTCTCAAAAAA